AAAATCTAATAGCAAATAACATCGCAGCGAGCATTTGAAAATTGGGCGTCAAAAACCGCAAGAACTTTCTTCACGACCTAATAGATAATTAAAACCTAAAGTATATTGAGGTTACTGTTGCCCACAATTACCTCATGGGAAAAGACCCTCACTCTCTTTTACTTGCTGGACTACTCATTACCTACCCACTGATATCTGCCTCATTTTTTTGGTGATGAAGCTACATACATTCCGACTTTTCATTCAAACTTTGCATTATCAAGTTCCGTATACATTGTACATCAGTGGTATGGGCAAAGTATCAAAGGAAAATGAGGTATCCTGTGTGTCTATTGCGAAAGTCGGTCCTATAAAGATGCAAAGACAAACGGACGCCTTTTTCCAGTCCATTGCGTGCATTCGCAACACCATTACATTTTACACAAGTGTTGGACCAACACCTGGTTCGTTTCTTTTTGGTCTTCTTTCCGTTTTTATTCAATGTGCTTGCTGTACTATGGGAGGCTAATGCTTGTGCACCACCCATCAGTTTCACTTCTGCAACTGCAGGCTTTGATTAATGTTGTTATTTTTGTACTACACATTTAGCAGTCCATGTACATATGATTAGCACATTCGACATAGATATTATTATATAAGTTTTTTTGAAATATACGAATATTATCGAGTAGTGGCCGAGGTTGAGTTTACTTGCAACACAACAATTTAAATATTCGGCTTGACTTGCCGGTAATTTGTATTATGTATTAGGTTGATGCATATGTTCTTTTCTCCCACTCTTTGTACAAATCTCCATAGCGAACCAGTCTGAAGATTTGAGGTATGCACCATCACCACCCTCCACTACTCGACGCCGAAGCTCTGGCAGCTTGTCGATTCCACCCTTCCAGGAGGATGAGGCTGGGACCGAAGAAGTCGTCGACTGCCTTCCTCACCTCATCCCCTGTGACGAAAACGGGAAAATTGTGCGAGTGATAGCTAGTGTTAGTGGGAGGAGTATCGGGCACATGTGGTGGTTAAATACCAATATCAATGCAAACGAAATACGGAAGGATCAAACACGGCGGAAAAATACACGCATCAACCTAATAGCAAGTGATGACTCTGAATATTTGGATATCTCTCAAAATGAATGGTTTGGTAGATAAATTTGAAAAGTTCCATTGCCGCAGCATCTAAGAGAGTAGCTGAATGATTTTGTCTCGCCTGGCCTGCTAAATGTGAGAAGCAGCGAGAATTTTATTTTGGTTGAGATTAGTTACCTCTTTCCTCATGATTTCATGTGGGACCCAAATTTTTAATAGTAAATATTCTAAGATATAACTCACTATTGAATAGCGCTGAAAAAGGCAACTAATATTCACCTCGAGATAAAAACAACTACCTCGTTTATTCCCTCCCCCTG